CACTTGAAACTTGATTGAGTTGATAGCCTTATCTCCATCCCGTAGGTGATGGTTATTACGATGCCTAAGTCGTTCCCAATTTTCTTCAAACTCCTCATCATCGGATTCATCAAAGTTGTGTGGAGGTGGGGGCCGGATGTTGCGTGTTGGCCTCAAATGCGGTTGAACATCATTTCGCCTATGAGCTTCAGGTAACGGTCGGATATTCTCTTGTAATTTTTGTTGATTCTCTTCCAGTTGATCCATCCTATTATTCATCAATTCCAATCCAGAATGGTGAAGAGTTTTGAACTCTTGTAGAATGGTATTGAGAAGACCTTGTACATCAACTTATTGAGAATTGGATTATTCACCCCCTGCTATTAGAAAGAGAACAAAGAAAAAAAAATAATAACCTCACTAGAATTCTCGTGTATCACTCCACACCTTATGTGCCTTTCCGTCTTGCAAAAAAGACTCAAATCAAATCGATGAAATTCTCCCAAAGGTGATAGCCAAAAAATCCAAAACAGTAGTGAAAACAAAAGAAATATAAGTTCAGAATGAAGGTAAAAGACAAATAATCTTAATAGATTTTTTTTTTTTTTGATAAAAGAAAAGATGATTTGAGAACTAGAAGCAAATAAAAAATATCTTAATATTTGATAATAACTTCTTCTTTTTTTTTTTTTTCGTTTTTTTCCCTTTTTTTCATTTTTTTTTGCTTTTTTTTTTTACTTTTTTTTTAAAAAAATAAGAACCGTGATATCAATCAAGAGATTGTATCAACTAGCTTTGATACCAGATGACACGGCCTGACCGTGTATAATTATAACCAATATAATTTTCTTACCCACAAAGTTCAATAGAAGAAATGGATTAAGAATATGTATAAAAGAAAAGAGAAAGAAGAAGAAAAGATAGTGCAGAGATTGTGAATTAGTATGGATGATAACCAACCACGAGAATAAGTCTCGGACCTGAAATCAATCCATAGGTAAAACACAAACAATAGGCTAAATCCCACTGCAAAGAATTGGAAGCCACAAACCGATGGAATCACTCCAAAGACCCGATTTGAGAGTCTAAATGCAAAGAAATCACTCCCTGACACTAGAAAATTATAGAAGTGAAATTCGATTCAAGATATAAAAAAGTTTCAATTACAATGATAGGGAAGGACCTCATATAAAGGTCCTTGAGGAAAATAAAAGACAACAAATAGTAAAGGAAACAAACGAAAAAGTAAGTCTAACTATAAGGAAATAAATAATTAGGAAAGTTTTAGATATGAAATTATACTATATGAAAACTTATAATAAAAGGAAATATATATTAAGGTAACTTCAAGAAGTCTCCATAAGTGATGATTCTCTTGATAAATCTTCCATGATTAACGATTCTCTCCACAAGTGATGATTCCCTTGATAATATTCCATGATTAACGATTCTCTCCATAAGTGATGATTCCCTTGATAATCTTCCATGATTAGCGATTCTCTCCATAAGTAATGATTCCCTTTATAATCTTCTATGATTAGCGATTCTCTTGATCTTTCAATTGGGATTCTTGCGGGTCCCATTGAAGGAGCGTCAGGTGAGGGTTAAGTAGTCTCAAAGCATCATCTTTAAATAGATTCTCCATGAAAAATTATCCGATCAATGCAGTGATAGATTTTTTAAACTGACGAGCTCGGCTTCGAGTAATAGGTCCCACGGGCATTTGAATGCTTGAAGATTGGACGTCATCGTCAGCATAACGTCTTCCAAACCCATAGTAAAAGGCCTCATTGAGCACTTTATCCTCACGAACTTTGGGAGGATCCTTCGACTTTGTAGCTTTCGCTTTTGTCCTCTTGAGTGTCTTGCGAGCAAGGGCAGAAGCAGGGGCTTCATCTAGTGTTGCAACAACTTATGCATCACCAACATCTTCAACTCCTTTGATATTAGTAAGATTCTCCTCTGAATTTTCATCCATTGCATTTCCTTCAATTCCTTCTTCAACAACACCAACGGGTTGATGCTCCTCTAGTTCAGCAAGTTCGGACACATTTGCAGTCACATCCTCAAGAATCTGTTCTCCTTGAGTTTAAGTGGAAATAGGGGCAACTTTAGCAGTTGTAGTAACACTAGCATCACCATCTTGACCACCTTCATTTTCAAGCTCCATAGTTGCTACTTGATTTAAATCGATTTGGCCAATATTTACGGTTTCCACTGGATAGCCTTCACATTCTTCAGATATAGAGAGATTTCCAGGAGTTTGGATAGCGGTTTCCTCATCATGTACAACAGGACTTGCTGGAACCTCAACATCACGACCAGGTTCTTCCATCACATGTACGTGAACAGTTTCAAGAATAGGGGAAGAGAGTTCAGGTAGCTTCTTCCCTTTTTACGTAGTTCCAAATTTCCTCTTTGAAGTAATTTTCGGCTTAAGATCCTTGGCAACTCCACTGGAATGATTTTTCACCATGGTTGAAGACTTTGAGAGAAAACTCCTCACAATTCGAAATTAGAGTTAGGAGGGAATGAGAAAGATGCACATCACTGGTCCTTATCGATATACATATATAGTGCATCAGAACCCTTCACATGCCACCTCCTTTAATTTCCATTAGTCAAGCGCGTGGGATGTCAGGGCGTCATTTTAACGTCACAGCACTGCCCAAGGCATAGTCGTTGCAGCCCTAAAAAGGCTACTAATTTCCCTTCCAGTAATATCAAGTCACGTATTTCTCCCTTCCTTATATTTATCCAATATTCCAAAATGTATATTTAGAATAATACTCTACAAATATTGGACCAATCCCACCATAAATGAAATTAGTTTAGGTATGAACACAAACTTAATTCCCTTCTCAATTTCTCAAACCATTCAGAATCCAAGACTTCCGTAAAGATGTCTGTCTTTTGAAAATCAGTCCCAATATGCTGCAATTTGCACACTTTAGCTTCCACGAGCTCTTGGATAAAATGATATCGAATTTCTATGTGCTTCGTTCGACCATGTTGAACTGGATTATTTGATATGTTGATTGCACTGGTGTTGTCACACCAAAGCACAAACGGCTCATTTTCAATCCCATAATCCTGCAACATTTTCTTAATCCATAACAATTGCGCACAACAACTTCCAGCGGCTACATACTCCGCTTCGGCAGTAGATAAAGCAATTGAACTTTGCTTCTTCTAGCTCTAACTGATCAAGTTCTCACCAATGTAAAAATATCCTCCAGTCGTACTCTTCCGGTCATCACAACATCCGGCTCAATAGAAATCAGTGAATCCAATTAGATCAATTGATGATCTCTGAGAATACCATAATCCAAGTTCGGATGTTCCATGAATATACCTCAAAATTCTCTTTGCGGCTTTCAAGTGAGATTCTTTTGGGGCTGATTGAAATCGAGCACAAACACCAACACGAAATATGATATTGGGTCTGTTAGCTGTGAGACATAACAGACATCCGATAATGCTCCTGTAAAGTTTCTGATCGACATTCTTTCATCAGCATCCTTAGACAATTTGTCTTGTTGTCCCAATGGTGTTCTAACAGTCTTAGAACTCTTCATACCAAACTTCTCAACCATATTCTTTGCATACTTCATTTGGTTCAGAAATATCCCATCAGCACATTACTTGATTTGCAATCCAATGAAGTAATCAACTCCCCAATTATACTCATCTCAAATTCTGAATGCATGAACTCCACAAATTCATCCTTCAACTTGTTTGCCGTAGATCCAAACACAAGGTCATCAACATAAACTTGAGCAATAATAACATCAATATATTTATGTTTGATGAATAATATCTTATAAGTGGATCCTCTGGTGTTTTCCTTTCCAATCAAGAAGGTAGACAATCGATCATACCAAGCACGGGGTGCTTGCTTCAATCCATACAAAGCTTTCCTCAATCGGTAGACATGATTCGGATATAATGGATCTTCAAATCCTTTAGGCTACTCCACGTATATTTCTTTTTTGATCCATCCATTCAAAAATTTAGTTTTGACATCCATTTGACATAGAGAAAATCGAAGCGAGCATGAAATTGAGAGTAATAACCTCACGGCTTCAATTCTTGTAACGGGGGAAAACGTTTAATCATAATCAACTCCTTCAATATGAGTGTATCCCTGTGCAACTAGCCGAACTTTATTGCTTATGATATTCCCTATATCATTAGATTTGTTCTTGAATATCCACTTTTGTTCCAATAAGATCGATGTCATCTGTTCGTTCTACCAACGTCCAGAGTCTATTCATTGCAAACTGATTCAGTTCATTTTGCATGGCACTGATCCAATACTCATCTTTCAGTGCTTATTCAATATTCTTTGGCTTAATGGTAGACACAAAGCAATTCATACCAGAAAATTCCCTAAAATCAATTTTTCTTTCCTCTGGTTCAATGACCTCCTTATGGATCTCCAATGATAGGATAAATAGGATGGTTTTTACGAATTCTTGAACCATATGTCCTTACTTCAGTATCAGACTGACATTCTCCAGGTTGTTCAGATGTAGTTTTAACTTCAATAGATTCATCTGCTTCACTCAAATCGAACTGCATCGAACTCTCATCACGAGTTGTTCCATTGGCCAAGGTACAACATAATCACGTCATGCGTTTTTATTAAGAATAACATATTCACAAGTTTGGCATTCCCAAGACAATAACCACTGATCAAGGGACTGCATTTATAAGCGCGAAGGTCAAAGCCTTTACAACCCAATACAAGATCCAACTGCTCTATTCCTCTTCGTATTACCATCAGGCTAACGGGCAAGCCGAGACGAAAACTAAAATCTTGATTTTCATTATCAAAAAAGCATTGGAAGATAATCTGAGGGGTTGGCATGACACTCTGGAAGAGGCTTTATGGCCATATCGGAATGCCAAATCTTCTGTAACCAGAAGTACCCCTTACAAACTGACTTACAACCATGATGTTGTGCTTTTGTTGAAGATTACAGTGCATTTTTCTCTTAATTTTTAAGATGAACGAGATGTCGATGGAAAAGCAAGATCAGGCCTTGCTCCAGGAGCTCGATGCCTTACCCGAAGAGAGGCTGCAAGCCCTTGAATGCATTCGATATCAAAAGAAAAAGGTTGAGTTGACCTTCTGGAAGCACGTGAGGCCCCAGACTTTCGAGAAAGGTGATATGGTCTGGAAGGCCGTCCTCCTGGAAGGTCCCAAACATGCGAAGCTAGGGAAATGGTCCCCCACATGGGAAAGGCCATTTATTATATCGGCCAAGTTATCCAATGTCGCGTATAGGTTGATGGAGCCCAAAGGGGAGAAGCTGAAGACATTTATTAATGGAAAACATCTTAAAAGATTCTATCATTCTCTTTGGGAGCTAGAAGGAGTGCACAGTCAGACGATCGTTGAATGCGATCTTGCGGAAGGAGAAAAAGCATATGGACAAGCCGAGTAACTTTTAACAAAATTATTCATATTACAAATTAATTAATTGGGCCGACCCAACACAGACGCAGCTCAGAATGGAGGTTTGCGGCCCAAATAAGCAAGTGGGCTTACATCAAATTTTTTTTTTTTTTAATCATCGCGAGATAGCCCGAGTCCTTTATTGAAGAGACCCGGGAACCCTTTGAAACAAATCAAATCCGCCAGACTTTTCCGATTAAGTTGCCGATGGCGATTTTTTACGACAACAAATATATAATATATATACGCATAATAATAAAAGTAAACGAAGATACACAAAATATCACTGTCTCTAGTACTTTCATAATTCACTACAAGAAAAAATCATTTTTGTAACAAAACTTTTTTGTCTCTAAATCTACTTTTTCTGTTACTAATGACATTAGAGACGGAATTAGGAACGGAATTACGTTAGCTACGTGAACTTTAGGGACGGAATTCCGTTACAAATATATTATTTTTTTGTAGTGATTCTTTATGTATTACAATAAAATACCTACAATTATAAACAACTATGCTTCTTTTAAGGTTTATTTTGGTATTGCATTATTCATTAAATTTTTTTCATTAAAATTGTGAAATCAAATACTTATTTGTTATTTGAAACATTACACATAATATCATATTAAATTAGTTGCACTTAGTTCAAATTATTGTTCTGATACTCAAACATAAATTCAAACCTTAAATAAATTATTTTATGTATTTATAAAAATTGCTTGCTAAGGAGTGGCCGACGTAGTGAAGCTTTTGTCCCGTTTTGTCATGAACATATCGGAAGAATGCAGGGATACCATAGATGGCTAGCTCGCCCCATAGCCAATTCCAATAGTCCTAATTGTGTCGAAAAATAGAAAAGTATCAAGAAAAAGAATGGTTCAAATTTAATGAAAAAGATAAAATTTTCATCATTTAAAATTAAAGTCCTTATCATAGTTTAAAATTTATTTTAAGCACAATTTGAATTTAATTATCCTATAAATCATCATATTTCGCTATTTTAGGTCCTTAATATAAAAATATTTGTGATGTGTTGAATAGATAATAGATTTTAATATAAAATTTAAATAAGATATAAATATTTAATTTGATATATATATAAATAAATTGTTGATAAATAGTAAAAAAAATAAAAAATTAAAATTAACATAAACAAACATTTGTTTAATAATAAAAAAAAATCATACCGGATTATTTGGAGTGAGGAAAGTGTGTCCGCTGCTATAACTTGTCTCCCGAACATTGCCTTGCCAAATGTCGAATCCATTATCCGCTAATATAAATCTCAATGATTGATAGGGAAAATCTAACCATGTTGAAGCACCCCATATTATTACCATGAACAAAAATTAATAATTTAATTTTTTTATTATGTTTTTTATACTTTTTTTTTTTTACTATTCAATTTTTTATTTTATCTCATAAAAACTCAAATCAGACTATTTATTTTCATCTTAAAATATAAAATGAAAAAAATACAAAAGAACACACCATTAATAAAATACTTGTATATATATATATATATGTATATACTACTAAGAAAATATCAAAAATAATATGTAGAATTGAAAGTATACTTATAAGTCCGTGTTGAAGAAGAACTGCCGCTTTAGCCCCTTTCTTGCTATTAGATCGACTTGTTGGGATTCTTTGAAAACTTAAAATATATTCATCTTCGATTGTGACCTAATCATAGATAATATATTTAAAATTTTAAAATATAATAATTAGTAGTTAAATAAAAAACAAAATGGATAACGAAATACACGTACTTTATGTTCTTCTCAAGTGTACCCTTGCGTCTCCACTATTAAATGATATATGCCTTTCACATCATTGCTTGTCTCAAAAAGCATCTTATGAAGCATCGTTCTTTGTTGAAGTTGATTGAGGTTCGTGCCAGAGTAAAATGCTGATGATGGAAGAATTCAGGCAGCAATTTCGACCTACATTATGATGAAATGCTCGATCAATACAATTTCTTCCAATAGCCAATTTTTAGAGAAATATGGCGTGCATAAAAGACTATATACCCGTAAGTGACGTTAAAAGGTAATGCAATCGACGCTCTTTGCAAATACAAATATCGAGCAAGAGTTTGATAACTAATAAAATAATTAAAATGTAAAGTAGGTTCCACACCAAAAAAAAATTAGATGGGAAGTGGATCCCGCACCAAAAAAATTAAATAATACTCCATGTGTTTTATAACAAATGATACTATTTTTATTTTAGTTTATCCTATAGCAAATAACTCATTTCTATCTTTAGTAAAATTTATTAATATAAATATAGTTAATAAATATAAATTAATTTAATTAATTTTATAACATATAACATCACGAAGAACCCACTCAAAATTATTTACTTAATAAACAAATCATTGTATCTACATAAAAAAAAAAAAAAAAAAAAAACATAATAACATAATTTACTATTATCAAGTAATATCATAAAAAAGTTAAATGAAATTTAATTTTATATATTATTATTATTAAACCGTGTGACCCACCCTATAAAAATTTCAAAAATAAAAAAAAAAATCAAATAAAATATAATTATATATATTATTATTGAATAATAGCCCCACCATATACAAATTAAAAGAAAATAAAAAATTTTAAAAGATGAAACACAGTGGAAGAGATTAAGGGTATATATACACTGGTGGAAAACCGTGCTACGTACGGTCCAATCAATATATTAATAATTTTATTTATTTTTCTATAAAACATCGTATTATATATATTTAAAAAATTATTAAATTATTGAAATTAATGGTAGTTATTTAATTAAAATTTAAATGTAAAACGGTATAAATAAATTAATATATTAGAAAAATATATAATAAAAAAATGAGTCTAATTGTGTTGGTTTTTTAATATTGTCAATAATACTTCTATTATATTCTTTTACGCGTAAATTACTTAATGTTTTAATCGAATAAGTTTTTTAAAACTTCATGTCATATTCATATATATAAATTTGATTGGATAAAAAAATCAATTGATTTGCTTGTAAAGTGAAATTTTATTAACATGTTACTATTATTTATTATTATTATTATTATTTTATTATATTTTCTTTTGGCTTTCTATATAATACTTCCCCCGCCTACAAACTAATATCTTATTTTTCTATTTGGATCTTACAATAACTATTTTCATATTTTTTTGGTTTTTTTTTTAATACAATTTTTTTTTTTTTTTTACTCTTTATTCATTTATCACTTTTAATCATAAAGGGTAAATTTATCAATTCATACAAAAAGACCAATTATCTAAAAAAAAATAGTGTTAATATACTTTAAGACAACAGAAATTGAACGGAGTGGATATTAATTACTATTTTTTTTTTTTGTATAAATTCAAATCAAACTATTTATTTTCATCTGAAAATATAAAATGAAAAAAATACAAAAGAACACGCTTAATAAAATACTTGTATATATATATATATGTATATACTACTAAGAAAATATCGAGAATAATATGTAGAATTGAAAGTACACTTATAAGTCCGTATTGAAGAAGAACTGCCGCTTTAGCCCCATTCTTGCTATTAGATCGATCTCTTGGGATTCTTTGAAGACTTAAAATATACTCATCTTCGATTGTGACCTAATCATAGATAATATATTTAAAAATTAAAAATATAATAATTAATAATTAAATAAAAAATAAAAGGGATAACAAAATTTACGTACTTTATGTTCTTCGTAAGTTTACCCTTGTGTCTCCACCATTAATTGACATATGCCTTTCACATCATTGCTTGTCTCAACAAGCCTCTTATGAAGCATCGTTCTTTGTTGACTGAGGTTCATGCCATAGAAAAATGTCAATGATGGAAGAATTCAGGCAACAATTTCGACCTACATTATGATGAAATGCTCGATCAACACAACTCCTTCAAATAGCCAATTTTTAGAGAAATATGGACGTGCATAAAAGACTATTTACTCGTAAGCGACGTTAAAAAGGTGAATGTAATCGATGCTCTTTGCTAATACAAATATCGAGCAAGAGTTTGATAAGTAATAAAATAATTAAAATGTGAAATAGGTTCTACACCAAAAAAAAATAAAAAATTAGAAGGTGAATACAATCGACGCTCTTTACTATTATCAAGTAATATCATAAAAAAAAAAGTTAAAATGAAATTTAATTTTATATATTATTATTAAATTGTGGGACCAACCCTATAAAAATTTCAAAAATAAAAAATCAAATAAAATATAATTATATATATTATTATTGAGTAATAGGCCCCACCATATACAAATTAAAAGAAAATAAAAAATTTTAGAAGGTGAATCGTGGTGAAAAAGATTAAGGATATTTAGATACACTAGGTGGGAGCCCTGCTATGCAAGGTCCACTCAATAAATTAATAATTTTATTTATTTTTTCTATAAAACATCGTATTAAATATATATTTTAAAAATATTTATATAATTATTAAATTATTGAAATTAATGGTGGTTATTTAATTAAAATTTAAACGTAAAACGGTATAAATAAATTAGTATATTAAAAATATATATAGTAAAAAATATGAGTTTAATTGCGTTGATTTTTTAATATTGTCAATAATACTTCTATTATATTCTTTTACGCACAAATTATTATTATTTTTTTATAATTGAATAAGTTTGCTAAAACTTCATGTCGTATTCATATATATAAATTTGATTGGATAAACAAATCAATTGATTTGCTTATAAAGCCAAATTTTATTAACATGTTACTACTATTTATTATTATTATTATTATTGTTGTTGTAATTTAATTACATTTTCTTCTGGCTCTCTATATAATAGTCTCTCGAACCACAAACTAATACATTATTTTTCTATTTGAATTGTACAATAACTATTTGTCCTGTTTTGTTTTTTATTTTTTGTTTTTTAATACAAATATATATATTTTTTTACTCTTCATTCATTTATCATTTTTAATCATAAAGGGTAAATTTATCAATTCATAC